GTTCCCTTAAACGTTAAATGGGAGGAACTGTTTGCTTTCTTATTTCAAAGATGGTGTAAGAGATACACAGCTTGTCGATCTGAGTGAAGGATATTGGTTTATTTTTTTATTTTATTTTATTGAGAAACAGCAATGAGACAGTTTCAAAACTGATTAATAGGATAGGATATTGGTTTCTAGTGCTTTGGGCTCATATCATAATCAGAAAATACTTGTTATATGACCTTCTCATCTGCTTTTTCTCATTGTTTCCTATTATCATGTACTTAATTCCTAACAAGATGGACTTTAAAGTTGAATGTGAATCAGATTAAATTTGTGTGAAGGTATCAAAGCAGGGGGCCAGGGAGATGGCTCAGTGGAATAAGCGCTTCCCTGGCAAGTGCAAGGGCCTGAGTTCAATCCTTGGTTCAGCCAAAAAAAAAAAAAAAAAAAAAAAAAAAAAAAAAAGGTATCAAAGCAGTACCCATCACTTGGCACTGTCAATAACATGCAATGGTTAATTTTATGTTATTAACTTGCCTGGGTATGCAGATGGGTATGCAGATGCTTGATCAAACACTTCTATTGTGGTGGGGGGGTTGGAGTTTGAGGGAGATCAATATTTAAACTGGCAGAAAGAAAACAGATTTGGGGGCCGGGGAGATGGCTCAGTAGAATAAGCACTTCCCTGGCAAGTGCAAGGGCCTGAGTTAAATTCCTGGTTCTGCCAAAAAAAAAAAAAAAAAAAAAAGATTTGCTTTCCCAACATGGGTGGGCCTTATCCAGCGTGTTGAGGGCGTAGAGCAAGTCGGCCTTCTCTCAAGTAAAAGACTTCCGTCTGCCAGCCTTCAAGCTAGAGCATGGGCTCTTTCAGCCTGCCGGCCTTTGGACTCAAACTGAGAAATCAGCTCTGTAGATTCTGGACTATAATTGTGTGAGCCATTTCCTTATAATAAATATGCTTATATCTCTACATTTTTATTTCTGTCTCTCTCTATATATTCTTTTTCCTGTTGGTTGTTTCCATAGAAAAATTTACTACGGAATAATAACATTGTTATACTGAAATTCTGCAGAGAAAACTTGAGAGAATTGAGATCATGTTTGAAAACTAAAGGAAACCAGGATCATTCTGACCAAAAAACCTCATATATAGATACAGTCTGCAGTCTCTGGTATTTATGGCTGAATCAAAAATACATACAGAGTCCTTTCCAGCACAGATCACTCTCCAGTGACTGTCTACCTACTCCAGCCTGCAGCTTTGGAGGCCGGCTGGCGGTAACAGACGAGTCACTGACAGCGAGCTGGGAGGGTGGAGGGGAAGAGGAACCGAGGTTTGTTTCCTTGGAAGATTCGGTCACTGCACTGGCAGAATTCCCTTGAGAGTTTTACAGCCTCGCACCATGGCCCTAAATCACGACAAATGTGGGCAGCCCACTGCCTACAGGAGGATAAGGTAGACCAGCCAGATAAGCCTCACGGGAGACGGGAGTGTCTTGAAGAATAAAGCTGATCTGAAGGCTAACGGGAAAAAATGAAGAGCCCAATTATACTGTGATGGTCACTGGAGAGAGTGACTCACTCTGGCCCTTTCCTAGTGATAAAGAGCAAGTTACTGTCTCCTGCTGAGGGACTTCCTTCCCCTAGGACCTCCTCTCTCCTGTTTATTTAGTCACAAAGGCAGGGAATTGCTATCCCACGGCTCTGTTCTCAGGCTTGCTAGGGTTTCCCAGAACACCCTACAGGGAATTCTTCAGTTTTCTTTTTGGCTAAAGACCCGATAACTATGGGGGGGGAGGGGGCGAGTGGGGGGGGGCGGTGGAGGGGGCATTTTGCCTTAAGTATAGAAACATCTGGGGCTGGTGAGATGGCTCAGTGGTCTAAAGCACCTACTTAGAACAAGCTTAGCAAAGCACAGGGACCACGGTTCAATCCTCCAGCACCACATGCCAGCCAGCCCCGCCCCCTGGGGCTGAGCTGGCCACACACACATACAAACAAAATTAAAAAAAAAAAAAGAAACATCTGTAAGGAAGGACTACATATTGTTTAGAACATGAATATACCAACAAGACAGCATCCAAGTGTTAGAGCTTAATTATTTTTAGTATAACTGTATTTCCATTCATGTAAATTGTCTCTTCTTCCTCCTTCTCATCCTCCTCCTCTTTTAGCAGTGGTAAAGGTTATTTGAAAAAGTAAAAGTGAAGAGTGAAGGAGAAACAAGCTTTGCAGAGCAATCCTGAGCCCCGTAATGGGGGAAAAAATGAGATAAAAACACACCCTGAAAAAACAAAAAAAACACACCCTGGAGGAAGTGGGGTGGCTATTGTTAGGAAAGCCACCACAGGGTCTTCTTCCTCATCTTGCTTTCCGCTTCTTTATCTAAAAGAACATAGAGGGGAATTATATATTAATTGAATGCAGCCATTACCTTCCTTAGTGAGTTGCAGGTCTCTAATATTTACCAATTGGGAGAGAAACCCAGAAGAGCTGGCAGGAAATATTCCAGCAATATTCACAAGGCAGGTAGAACTGAGCAAGCAAATTGGAAAAGAAAGCAAGAGGTCACATCTCTAGCAGTATTTACAGTATTACATCAAGTCTTGAAGTGGGCATGTGGATCTAAGCATTTGGTAGTAGTAAATTAACAAACAGAATAGTTATCTCCTTTAAAAAGAAGGTATTCAAAAAATAATGGCCTCTGCCAGACATGGTGGCATGTACCTGTAATCCCAGCACTTGGGAGGCTGAGGCAGGAAGATTGTTTTGAGTTCGAGACCAGACTGGGCTACAAAGTGAGCTCAAGGCCAGCCTGGACTGCATAGTGAGACCATGTCTCAAAAAACAACCAAAAAAAGATCTCCATTTCCATAATACTCCTGAACTAACGATATAAGTGACAGCACTATAGTCACCTCACATTAAAGGCCAGTAATATGGGCTTGGCGTGGTGACACACACCTGTAATCCTAGCACTCAGGGGGTACAGGCAGGAGGATTGCTGTGAGTTTGAGGCCATCCTGGGCTACATAATGAGTTCAAGGGCTGCCTGAACTACATGGGGAGGAGACCTGTCTCAAAAAAAAATTAATACATAAAAAAATAAATAAACAAAGTTAGTAACTATTAACTACAGTGAAACAAAACTTAGTTCCTATTTGTGATTTTGCAGGGGCTCAAACCAGTGAATGAAAATTAATTTTCTTTTCACATATATGGAATTTGTTATTGTACTATTATCTTCAGGATTACTGTAATCAAAATCCTGTCTGAAAATAGTAATACAAAAGAAAACATTACAGTCTTAAAAGACTACCCAAGCTATAAAAACTGGCACTTAAGAGGAACAAGGGGGGCCAGCGAGATAGCTTAGTGGACTAAAACACATGCTTAGGCAAGCACAGGGACAGCGGTTTGATCCCTGCCAGTAATTCCAGCACTGGGGAGGCTGAAAACATGGAGGATCACAAGTTGGAGCTATGTAGTGAGACCCTGTAACAACCAAAAAAAAAAAGTAACAACAAACCACTGAAGGTGGATAGCCACTCTTTTTCTATTTGGCTTCTGGCCTCTTTCTTCAGGGTAGTTTTCAAAGCTTGTGTATCATAATGACCTGAAGAGCTATGAAGAGCTAACAGAACCTACAGGACCCCAAAATCCTTTTCAAAAGGAAAGGCCTGGCTCTCCCACCTTACCAAGTTTTCCAGCAAGGGTTTCCAAACACTGTTGAACAAAATCACACTGGAAGCTCTGAAAATAACACATTCCCAGGCCTTACCTCTTGAAATTTTGACTCAGTAGGTTTAGTACTGGGACCAACAAAACCCTTAAAACATAAAATAAATTTTCTTTTATTTTTTTGGTGAAACAGGGGATCAAACTCAGGAGCTTATACTTGCCAGGCAGATGATTATGCTGCTGAACTATGTCCCCGGCCCCATTAAATCAATTTTTGAACTTCCTAAGTAGTTCTTAGGAGCAACTTGGAAACCACTGACTTTGGACATTTATTTAAGGTCTAGCAAAGAACTCATGCCTCTGAATTCACTAAGGACATTCATAATCTTGGGTAAGTTGTAAATCATCCTGGGGAGTAAAAACTCTGTTCAATTTGGCATTTAAGTTATTTAATAATTTTCTGTTTATCCACTTTCCGCCGTCAGGCCGTGGCCCATCTACAATGTTTGTTTCCTCTGGCTATGAAGTGCTAGCTATCTCCAGTGTTCATAAAGCCACTCCCCTGGGTCCCTTTTCGTCTTCTCTGATTTCCGAACTGTGAAGCACAGACCTATTTCAGAGCCCCACGCCATCTGCTGTCACTTGCAGTGCTAGGCATCGAGACGTCTCTGCAGAAAGAAACACTTTTTTTTTTTTTTTGGCGGAGCCAGGGATTGAACTCAGGCCCTTGCGCTTGCCAGGGAAGCGCTTATTTCACTGAGCCATCTCCCCGGTCCCCAAGAAACACTTTCATCATACAAGATAGGTAGTTTAAACACTTGACATTTCTTGCAGTCAAGACAAGAGAAAGTTAATTGTGATTAAAAGTTCCATAAATGCAGTGATTCCTGGTTTACCAGGGGTAATCCAAACCCACAGCTGTCCAGCCTCCTCCTTCTGCATGCCAGAGTCGAGGTTCAACTTCTAAGTTCACAATGGAAAGAATCGGAAAGCACTGGCCTGTGAGGATTCTGGGAAAAGACATCTGATCTCATTTTCCTGAAGTCATATAATCGTGTATCAAATGCAAAAGTAAGTTTATAAGTAGTCAAGAATTATGATTTTGAAAACACAGATGCTTGTCAGGTATGGTGGTGCACACCTGTATTCCCAACTCGGAAGGCTGACACAGGAGGATCACTGTGAATTGAAAGCCATCCTGGGCTACAAAGTGAGTTGAAGCCCAGCCTGCACTGCATTGTAAGATCCTGTCTCAAAAAGACAAAATAAAACAAAATAAAAAGCAAACACAGATGCTAAATTCTAATCCTTCCCACAAAATTCTAGGTCACAAATTGAAGGATGAGATGATCTTTCTTATACAGAAGGCAACAACTGGGCCACATGAGTGCCAACAGGCAGGAGACCAGAAGTGCCCAAGGGTCTCTCAGGCATTTAAGTCACAGTTGACGTCCTCACCAGACTGGAAACAGCAGGCAGGAAACAGTTCAAAGTTTCTTAGCAAAACTGCTGGGTGAGAGATGGAAAGGCCTCCTCAACTGAGACAGAAAACAAACGAAATGCTACTAGCAGCAGTTCCAGCTGGAGGACTTGGCTTGTAGATCGATGTAGTCCCCTTGGGTGGACAAAGACATGGCATCTTCTCTGGAATTGCTCATCATCTTTTCGACAAGGACTCTAAAAAAAACACAAAATAAACTAACAAATGAAAAACAGGCCTGAGGAGCTGGATGGAGGACAGGGAGAAATGGCAAAATGGCAGGCACTGTCTTATCAGGCAGCATTCATACCGATAGTCCCAAGGTATAAGTACCCCTTGTCCCCCATTATCTTAAAGACGGTAGGCCGAAAAATTTAGGAGCAGTGGTTCACTCTAGTCACTTTTGCTCAGAAACAACAAAAGCGGGTCTGTGAGGTCATTGTAGAAGATGGATACACCGGGTCAGCACGAGCTACGCACCTCATTGCTTCATTGATATTTTTGTTCTCCTTGACTGATGTTTCTGTCCAGCCTGTGAAACCATTCTCTTTACTGAACCGGTCGATCTGGTCCCGGCTCACTGCCCAAGGGGACAAATCACACTAACAAAGAAAAGCATAAATGGAAACACCATCAGCTTCCTAAGAACAGGAACACAGCTCAGTTATCTGTGGGCTGGGAACATTTCACCAACGGACGGCTGGGAACATTAACATCTACAATCTATAGTTAACTTCTTCCAGAAGAAAGTCACTCCCTCAATATCGCCTGAGAGGAAATACAGATGATCCTGCTAACTTGAAAAGGGGAAACAGAGCCCTAGAAACAGGGGCATCTTTAATGTATTTTAGTACGGGGTCTACAGGGTCTCACTACACAGATTGGACTGTAGTGATCCTCTTGTTTTCAACCTCCCAAGTGCTGGGATTACAGGCATGCACCACCACGCCCAGTCTCCACTGCCATCTCAGGGCGCCCTAGGGGTAGGACGGCACAGCATGCCAGGGATTAAACCCCAGCCCGCAGTGCTCTGCCTAAGTAGGTGATTTAGTGGGGTGAGCTATCTGGCCAGCCCCAGAAGCATTTTTGATCTGTGTATTCTGATTAGAGGCCAGGGGCATTTTCTGCCTTCAGTCCCATACCTTATTGGCCAAGAGCAGGCAGGGCACGGGCTCTCCATTGGGCAGTGTGAGTTTGCTGTCCAGATCCTGTTTCCATCTCTGGCTGTTGCTGAAGGTAGTGGCACTGGTAACATCAAACATGATGACACAGGCAGAGGCATCTCGGTAGTACAGTCGTGTCATAGAGGTGAAGCGCTCCTGGCCTGGGAGAAGACAGAGTTCTCAAGAAGGTGATCTGGGCGACCACCTTTGTCACCTCTCTGCCACCCTGCCTCCTCTCCCTTTGCTGTGGGAGCCCCTCATTCGCCCCATCCCAAATGATTAACTTCTCTATCTCAAAGAGGGAAATATTAAGCTTAGTCACTCGAAGGCAGATTGTACACCCAGACTTCCCAAGTCTAAATCACTGCTCTGCCACTTACTATTTACATAACTTTGGGCAAATCATGCTCTCTGAGCTTCAGATTTCTCATCTGTATAGGAAAGATAAGAGCTCTTATGGTTTTTGTAAGAATCAATAGATTAGTGTGTTTGAAACCTTTAGAAGAAATGATTGAAAGGGGGAAGAATTAAGATGTGTTATATACATATAGCAACTTCCCACAGTGCATGTAATTATTAGGTACTGCAAATATGTACTAATAAAATTTTTTAAAAATTTAAAAAGATGGTAAAAAATAAGAACCCACTATTTTTACACATGATCTTAGCCAAAAGGCCGAGAAGCGATACCACTATTTTTACTATTTATTTTCCTGGTATCTTGTTTCTCACCAAGGTTGGCTGAAAATCTGGAACAAGTGGCCATCTCTTGCTGTGGAAGGATCCACCTATGGGCTGGACAATCTACCAAGGTATACCGGAAGGGCCTCCACCCACTCACAGTGTGCTTAATCTATGTAGGGCCAGACAGCTTCAAAAGGCATCTGCCTAAGTTCTCCCTTCTCAGTTCATCTGTCTTCAGCTCAAGCATTCCAGTTTCAGAAGGAAAAAAAAAACAAACCCTGGATTTGCTGTGCTATGTTTTTGTTTCCCCCTCCAGAGTTTGCTTGTTAAACCAACGTATCTTTCCTTGTTTCTATCCAGCCTTCCCCGTTTACCTGCAATATCCCACAGCTGGAGGCGCACCATTTCGGAGTCAGACCACTGGAGAACCTTCAGAGCAAAATCCACTGGAAATATAGGTATGTTATACTTTAATAAAATTTACCTTTAGGGGCTGGTGAGATGACTCAGTGGTCTAAAGCACCTACTTAAAACAAGCTTAGCAAAGCACAGGGACCACGGTTCAATCCCCCAGCACCACATGCCAGCCTGCCCCGCCCCCTGGAGGGCTGAGCTGGACACACACACACACACACACACACACACACACACACATAAATAAATTTTAAAAAAAATTACCTTTAAAGGATCCAGAGACAAACTCAAATTGAGTATACAGTTACAACCCCTGGGACATGCAACTCCAATCCACTTTATGTTGAAGCCCTCAAGAGGCTAAGATGAACCCACACTTGTACTTAAGTGTGGGACAGATAATTCATACTCTTGAAAGGGGCCTCCAGCTTTTATTCCCCTGTGAAACTAATTTATTTAATATTGTCTGTCTCCAAGCCTGGGACAGAAGAGTGGTAAGGATTATGAAAATAACTCTTTTACTCAGCTTAAACAGTTTGTGGGAGAGCTGGGGGGTTTTCTCAGGCAAGGGATGGTAAAGATGGAGGAAATGAGGTAAGTGTGGTTGTTTTTGTATTTTCCCACATTCAATTTCACCATTGTATTCTAATCAAATTGTATTAGAAGAAAAACACCCTGGGGCATTCTACATCCTCCTTAAGGCTGCAGGAATTATCTCAGGCAGGAGTGGGATAAATGAAAAGGGTCCCTAATGATTCCCAGAAGGACACTTCATAGCTGCTGAAGAGCACTGGTGCAATCTAAGAAGACTGTGTAGAGGCTGAGATTCTCTGAGTTAAGGCTAAAGGAGTACCCAGGGGGTAAGCTGTCTGCTTGAGAGAAAAACAGAATAATTTCCAAGGTTTGCAAATATATTCTTCCTCATCTGTGGTAGAAATAGAATCCAAGGGGAACTTACAATAATTGCTGAAAAAAAGTAGTCAAGTCAATTATGTTCTTTACTAATGGAAAACTAGCACTGTAAAAATTGGCAGGACACATTTCACTGGTATCCATGAAATACAGATCCTTATATTATTTAAGAACAAGGGGTACAGTGGTCAGGAAATAGACTGAAACCTGTGATTTCCTGGATAGTCTTAGAGATGATGTTTAAATGTTAAAGTAAATGTTAACTTAAAAAAAAAAACTTTCATAGGCACACCTGCACACATTTTCAAAATGTACCTCAGTACACAGGTTTTTTTTTTTTATATTTCCATTTTCTGTTGACTTTTATTTTTTATTTTTTAATATTTATTTATTTTTATTTATTACATTTATTTATTGTGTGTGTGTGGCCAGCTCAGCCCACCAGGGGGCGGGTCTGGCTGGCATGTGGTGCTGGGGATCGAACCGCGGTCCCTGTGCTTTGCCAAGCTTGTTTCAAGTAGGTGCTTTAGACCACTGAGCCATCTCTCCAGCCCCAGGTTGTTTTTTTTTTAAAGAAATAAAATTTTAAGTTATTTTTTTCCCATCATTAGCTCTTCCTATCTGAATACCTGCTAGTTAACAAAAAGGTGGGCCCAGGGAGATGGCTCAGTAGAAAAAGTGCTTGCCTGGCAAGCACAAGATCCTGAGTTCAATCCCTGGTTCTGTCAAAAAAAAAAAAAAAAAAAAAAAAAAAAAAAAAAAAAAAAAAAGGAAAAAAACAAGGCATGTCTACCTTTGAAAACCACGGTTCAGGAATCCAAAGGTCACAATGAAAAAAAACTCCCAAATGAATCGATTCTCTTGTTCCATCCTCTCTCCCTCCCCAGTTTGCAGAGAAGGTGGAGAGATAGGTCAGAGAAGTGATATATTTCATTCTTTGAAGAATTGTGCCCATTTTTTTTAGGTTACTTTTTTTTTTTTAAGGACAGGGTCTACAGGGTCTACGGGGTCTCATTACCTAGATCGGATTCGTAGTGATCTTCCTGTTCTCAGCTTCACAAGCACTGGGATTACAGGTGCGCGACACCACGCCCAGTCTCAATCGCCATCTCAGCGCGCCCTGGGGTCCAGGGCCCGCACAGCACGCCGGGGATCAAACCCGGCCACTGTGCTCTGCCAAAGCAGGGGCTTTAGTCCGCTGAGCTATCTGACAGGCCCATAGCTACTTTTACTTAAGCAATCAATGGACCAAAACCTTGAAGGTCATCATTTGAGCATCCGTTTGGCTTAGGGTTCAGCTGGGTCGTTGTGTCCACCCTTCCCAGGCTCTTGGGGTTCAGCTCCGTAGGCCACGTTAGGAGACCCCAGAAAGAGGCAAGGCCTCAGCACTGCTGGCACCTACCCCAGCCTACACAGGGTCCCTGCCGCTCTGCTGAGTGGTGAGACCGGCCCCCAACATTCGCCAGCGAGGAACAGCAATTGCTCCAGCACACCCTCCTTCGCGCCTTTCTCATCTTCACACCTCTGCCCTCTCTCTTTCCAGACTGTCCGCTCCGGCTGGGAAAGCCAGCGCGGGCGCAGGCAAGTGGAACACCGAGCCCGACTCCACCGGGGAACCCAGCCGCCTACTCCCTGTCGCGATGAAGAACCCAAGGACACCCTCCCCGCTCCCCTCGGGTCCTCCTGAGGGTCCGGGCAGCCCGTCTCACCTCCCACCGTGGACTTGTAGTGTTTGCTGAAGCTGTCCTGGGAGTACCGCTGCACCAGCGACGTCTTGCCCACGGCGGCGTCCCCCACCACCAGCACTTTGAACAGGTGGTCGCGGCTGCCCATGGCCGCGGGGCGCGGATTCGGGAAGCGCGGCCGGCGCTCCTTTCAACCCTTTTGGCTCCCCGCCTTCTTCAAACTGAACTGAGGCATTTCCACCCCACGTCGGTGAAGCTGTTTTGACGAGAAGGCAGAAAAAGGAAACTTTGCGCTCCGCCTCAACGCGCTTCCTCCCCGCGCGGCCGCAGCGCGAGCTCCAGCCCCCAGCATTTGCACCTTCGCCAGCGCTCCGCCCGGCTGCCGAGAATCGGGACGCGGCGTCACCGAGCCTCACCCACCCGGACTTCCCAGCGCCTGGGCTCGAGCCAGCTCATTACACGGCTGGCGACAGATGGCGGAAGCCCTCGCGCCACACACACAGCTGTGAGGAGGAGCGGCGGGTACCTCTGTCTGCCCGGCCGGCGAGCTCCCTCTCGCCCTCCCTCCGCATGTGTCACGTGCAGGACGGCTTGCAGCACTACATTTCCCAGCGTGCCGCGCTGCAACAAGACCTTGGTGGGTACGGAGACTAGAGCGCCAAGTCTCCTGGGAAAGTTAGTTTATTTTCTATTCCGTGTTTCTGAAAACTTGCTCAGTTTTAAGATTTCAAAGTCCGTTAACGATGGGAATCTTAGCTTAAAATACTTCCACGTAGGTGAATGTTCCTTCACAGGAGATTTGTTATACATGATCTCATGCCTAAATCTGTCCCAGACAGTTTCATCTTCAAGGTTTTATAGAGGAAATGTTAAAAGTTTTCCATTAGCGTGCAGTCGGAACACTCTGGGAGGCTAAGGTATGAGGACTGCCAAATTCAAGCCCAGCCTGGGCAGTTTAGCGATTTCGTGAAGGTCCCAGGTTCAATCTTCAGTGCTGAAAAGGAAAAATAAAAGTCTTCCCCACTAATAAAAACCTCAGCCTCATCTGTCTTGCTTCAAATGAAGTCCATTTCCTGTTCTTTCAAATAGCTAGACAAATCAAGGATCTTGTGAACATAATCTCATGTCTTCCATATGACCCAAGAGCAAGCAAATTCATAGAAATTTGACTCCAGAGACCAACCTTTAGAAAAACACATGCCAAAAGTTACACTACTTAATAATTACCAATAAAGATGGACAGAAAACAAGAGACAGTTCCGCATTCTCACTTCCACAATCCCTATACTTGTCACTCGTGTCGTTTGAAATGAAAGTCATTTGTTGTTGCCTTGGTCACTAAATAATCATAAAGCTCCAACTTGACAAATAATTTAACACTTTCAGTCTGCAAGTTTTCTGACTGGCCTGTTTCTAAATATGAGTCAGAGAGACATGCGTCCATGACAAGCAAAATGAGCCCCACTTTTTATGTTTTTCCCAGAACCAAGAGACCCCCTAAAGGCCAGCCACTGGTGAATCAGCCCAGGACCTGACCCTGTGAAATCCTGCCTAGGTCTCCTGTTGTGGTGGCTGCTGCTTATGTCCATGAGGAGAGAGCATCACATATGCACAATGTACTTAACCTCGAACCTTTGTTTCCCAGGTACAGGAGGTTAGGCCAGGGCATTCAATGTTATTTATTTTTATTTTTTAAAGAGAAAAAGGGGCTGGCCAAATAGCTCAGCAGACTAAAGTGCCTGCTTAGGCAGAGCGCAGCAGCTGGGGTTCTATTCCCGGCGTGCCGTGCTGGTGCTGAGATGGTGATTGAGACTGGGTGTGGTGGTGTGCACCTGTAATCCCAGCTCTTGGGAGGCTGAAAAGAGGAGAATCACTACAATCTGATCTGTATAGTGAGACCCTGTAGACCCCATACTAAATACATTTTTTAAAAAATGAAGAGAAAAAAAACCCTCCAAAAATTGAAAGCAATATGATAGAAGGGTAACAATGGTTAGCACATTGCATGTAGTTGTCTTTAAATTAGTCATTCAGAGGACAAGATATCGCATTTTCTTGTCCAACAACATTAGCACAGACTTTCCTTTCAGTTCACTAAGAGAAATTAGTAGCATAACTACCTTAACTAACTTTTAAATGTTTTTTTTTTCTTTTCCCTTTCCTGTTTTCTTCATTCTTCCTTCCCAGTTTCTCTTTCCTCTTGAAGTTTCTTTCCATCTTACAATATCTGTTGTATATTTTGGATCTTATTTACTCTTTCAGGTTCTCATACTATGGAGACAATGTAATGTTTACACATGTGTGTCTGATTTATTTCACTTATGAGTTATTCAACTGTAAAGATCCGCTTTTTTCAGTTACTATTTGCTTTAATGTACTTGGCCACTCTTGACATTTGTTCCCCCGCATGGCTCCTGTGCCACTCACTGTTCTTTCTCATCATTGTTCTTCTCTGATGATTTTCCCCCCACCCCCCTCAGGTGTCTCTCCATCCTATCCTCCTCTGTGTATTTCCTAAGCCTGATTCTTAGTCATAGAATCGATCATTCAGTAAACTCTTTTCAGTGGAGGGTTTGAGACAGAGTCTTACTATGCAGTTCAGGCTGATCTTGAACTATGTAACCCAGACTAGCCTAGAATGTGCAGTGATCCTCCTGTGTCAGCCTCCCAAACTCTGGGATTACAGGCATGCACCACTACTCCCAACTCAATAAACTCTTTAGTGAGTCTTCAAATCTTTCTTTTTTTTTTTTCTCAAATCTTTCTTTGTATTCACTTTATTTGTTCTTTAGTTGGATGTATTTCCACTGCCTCCTCTTGCTATCTTACTGTGAAAACCGCTCCTTTTCTCAGTTTCATCAGTGGTCTCCTTTCTTCCCTTCAGGTAGACTTCAGACTTTGAGCACTGGTAACATTTCCTTTTTACTTACAGCCCCTGCTCTCTTTAGAAAAGTCAGCATATTCTATTCATTCAAAATGTTTCACCTACCCATTGTCTCTGGTACATATCCAGGGATGCTTTTCCTAGTTTAGGTACCCTCATTTCGTACCTGGGGAAGGAGATATACATGTGTCACCTCAAAATAGGCCAAATTGGTATAATGATTTTTTTTCAAGTTGAAATCACTTGAAGGAATTGCAACTGCAGGAAGTGCCATTGATCTGTGTGGTTACATGCAACATCCCATGAAAGTCTTTTCAGGAGGAATGTCCTTCCCATACCAAGGCTGAAAAATAACCTTGGTCAGCAAAGCTGGTAATTGGAGTAGCAGTGGAGTTTAATCACCAAACTCTGACATAATTCTTATCTTCTGCTAGCTTCTACATTCCCCCTCTATGTATCTCTGGTTTTTTATTTTTAAATTATTTTTTTTGGTACTGGGAATCAAACTCATGACCTCATGTTTGCCAGGCAGGCACTGTGCCACTGAGCTACGTCCTCAGTCCTCCTTCTTTATATCGCTTAGTCGTAGCCCTAGCGTTTATTACTCTCATCGAGTTACCCAGTTGTCCTGTCATTTCTTCCTGATTGTACTGCTCATTGTCTAAAAGAGTATAACAACATTATGGTTTCATTATATCTTTGAACTTTATTCTCTTGTGAAAATTCCTGTGTAAATGTAAATTCACTAAAAGTCATATGTTTTTTCTTTTGTTAATCAGCTCTTACATAAATGGGGGTTCTGGGGGCTGGGGATTTAACTCAGGGGGAGAACGCTTGCCTAGCAAGCTAGAAGCCCTGACCTCGGTCCTCGGCACCAAAAAACAAAAATAAACCATAAATGGGGATTCTAGATCCAGAGAAAGAGTCCACTTAAGAATGTAAGTGGTGGGGGCTGGCCAAAGAGCTCAGCGAATTAAAGCTCCTGCAAGCAGGTGCAGGGGCCTGAGGTTTGATCCCTGGGCCTGCCATGCTGGCTCAGCCCCAGGGGCGCACTGAGACAGCATTTGAGACTGGCCATTGTGGCGTGCACCTGTAATCCCAGCTCTTGGGAGGCTGTAAACAGGCGGATCACTACGAGTCTGATGTAGTAGTGAGACCCTGAACACCCTGTAGACCCTTCCCTAAAATACAAAATAAATAAAGAAATTGCATAAAAGAATATAAGTGATGGTAGAGCAGATTTCTGTCTCCCCTACACTGGATTACTGAAATTACCTGTTCATTAATCTCCCTGATTCAATTTTTGTTCCTCATTAAATCATCTTATACAATTGGCCAGGATGATTTTCCTAAAATGGTCCTGTTTCTTCATTGTCAACCAACTATCTTTTCAAAACTGGTCAGCCTACTTGAGCTTCCTATGTACCTGTCCTGTCCTAGTAACTATTTTATCTCACCTAATCTCAAAGGGAAGAATTTTTCTCCTGCTATAGGATATGGCCCTCTAAAAGTGCAATTTCATGTTTGATTTTGTATCTTTACTCAAGATGCTTCATCTGTTAGAATAGTCTCCAGGGCTTTTTATACACAGCTAAAACTTAAAACACAAAGTTCTCAAACTTCAGCGTTCATAAGAATCATGTAGCTTGCTTAGTAAATACTGCCATTCTAACTCTGTAGGGCTGGGGTAGGGCCCAGGGGAATCTGCATTTTTGGTAAGTATACATGTGACTGACTTCTAGACAGATTTCATACTGAGAAATGGAGCTTTTTTTTTTTTTTTTTTTTTTTTTTTGGCGGAACTGGGGATTGAACTCAGAACCTTGCACTTGCCAGGGAAGCGCTTATTCCACTAAGCCATCTCCCCGGCCTTTTTTTTTTTTTTTTTTTTTTTTCAGAACCCGGGATTGAATTTAGACCCTTGCTCTTGCCAGGGAAGCACTTATTCCATTGAGCTATCTCCCTGGCCCTGAGAAATGGTGCTTTAAGGTCCGATTTAAGTGTCAGCTCATTTATAAACATTTTTCCCTTGTGATTGAAGCTCTTATTTGTCAGCTGTAGCATTCACATTCTGTTTAACTGTTGATCATTTAACTACCTGTGCAACTGATTCACAATTATTTAACCTATAGGTAACCAGTGTGTTGCAAAGTAAACAGGAACTCCAAAATTTTGGCTTTAGTCCTCTTCATTAATAAGAACTTTAAAAAAATCAGAGATGGCTGCGGAGACAGCTCAGTGGCATAAACTCCTACCTGGCAAGCGCAAGGTCCTGAGTTCAATCCCTGGTACCAAAAAGAGAGAAAAAAACAAATAAAAAAAATCAGAGATGTGAGGAGTCAAGACTTAGGAGGGAATCTTGCAAATTTCCTGGTGCTCACAGAACTTTCCTCAGTCACAGAACTTCTATCAAAGGAGTAGGCCCGGCATGCCTTTCCTGGAGGTGCACTAGGTATACTTCTTCCATACTAAGCTGCAATTCTAATTGCAATTTACCAGAGAGACAGATAAAAATAAGACAGTGGGAAGACATATTCAGAGTGCCAAACAAGTGACTTGCATATACACATTTGAAACACAAGAGTTTTGGAAGCTGGGAAAGGTGGTGAGACTTGCTCAGTTGATATCCCACTTCCCAAGCGCGCCTGAATTTTGACTTATTTATTTATAGTACTTTTTACTTCTCCCTTTTTA